CAGCTTACAGTGACATGTAAAGGCTTCACTAGGGTAATTAGGGTAAAGTTAGGGTAATTAGGCAAGTCATTGTATAACAGTGGTTTGTTCTGGAGACAATCCAAAAATATACACTCACTGGCCACTTTATTAGGTACTCCTCACTAGTACCAGGTCGGACCCCTTTAGTCTTCAGATCTGCCTTAATCCTTGGTGTCAGAGATTCAACAAGCTACTGGAAATATTCCTCAGAGATTTTGCTCCATATTGTCATGATAGCATCACACCGTTGCTGCAGATTTGTCAGCTGCACATCCATGATGCCAATCTCCCGTTCCACCACATCCCAAAGCTGCTCTATTGGATTGAGCTCTGGTGACTGTGGAGGCCATTTGAGTACAGTGAACTCATCGTCATGTTCACCAGTCTGAGATGATTGAGCTTTATGACATGCTGCGTTATCCTGCTGGAAGTAGCCATCAGAAGATGGAGACACTGTGCTCATAAAGGGATGGACATGGTCAGCAGCAATACTCAGGTAGGCTGTGGCGTTGATGCTCAATTGGTACTAATGGACCCAAAGAAAATCTCCCCCACACCATTACACCACCACCACCAGCCTGAACCGCTGATACAAGGCAGGATGATCCATGCTTTCATGTTGTTGAGGCCAAATTGTGAGCCGAGCATCCGAATGTGTCAGCAGAAATGGAGACTCATCAGAGCAGCAACGTTTCTCCAATCTTCTATTGTCCAGTTTTGGTGAGTCTGTGTGAATTGTAGCCTCAGTTTCCTGTTCTTAGCTGACAGGAGCGGCACCCGGTGTGCTCTTCTGCTGCTGTAGCCCATCCGCCTCAAGGTTGGCCGTGTTGTGTGTTCAGAGATGCTCTTCTGCAGAGCTCGGTTGTAACGAGTGCTTATTTGAGTTACTGTTGCCTTTCTATCAGCTGGAACCAGTCTGGCCATTCTCCTCTGACTCCTGGCCTCATCAACAAGGCATTTGCGCCCACAGAACTGCCGCTCACTGGATATTTCCTCATTCTCTGTAAACCCTAGAGATGGTTGTGCGTGAAAATCCCAGTAGATCAGCAGTTTCTGAAATACTCAGAGCAGCCCGTCTGGCAGCAACAACCATGCCACGGTCAGAGTCTCTTAAATCCCTCTTTCTTCCCCATTCTGATGCTCACTGCTGCCATGTGATTGGCTGAGTAGAAATGTGCATTAAGCAGTTGGACAGGTGTACCTAATAAAGTGGCCGGTGAGTGTATATAATAATGGTAATTAATATTGTTAATAATATTTACTATTGATTAATGATTATTTATTTTATTCCAGCCAAACTAACAGAAATAAGACTTTCTAAAACATTAAAAAATATTATAGGAAACACTGAGAAAATTTCCTTGCTCCATTAAAAAGGACTGTGTGTGTGTGTATGTGTGTGTGTGTGTGTGTGTGTGTGTGTGTGTGTGTGTGTGTGTGTGTGGGAGAGAGATGTGTGTGCGTGCGCCTGTGGATCAGGCAAATGTAGGTCAGTGTGATTCTGCTGAAACAAACCCAGAATCAAGTGGTTTAAAGAAGAAGCAGAGGAGCCTGCCGTCAGCACAGGACCTGATTGAGGACTGTTTGTTTCAGTAGTTTGTTGTGTGTGTGTGAGATCAGAGTGTTTGCTGAGAGGATCAGATAAACAACACCATTACTGCTGCTGTAACCTGCTGTCTGATTATCATCAGAACCCCAGACTGAGCTCAGAATACACAACCAGACTTTCAGATGACGATTAAAGACACACACACACACACACACACACACACACACACACACTACATATAACCATATATTTTTAAGTCGGAAACTAAGCTTTTTGGGCAGCACGGTGGCTCAGTGGTCAGCACTGTGGCCTCACAGCACTCAGGTCTCTGGTTCGAGTCTCGGCTGGGTCAGCTGGTGTTTCTGTGTGGAGTTTGCATGTTCTCCCCGTGTTGGTGTGGGTTTCCTCCGGGTGCTCTGGTTTCCCCCATAGTCCAAACACATGCGCTATAGGGGAACTGATCAACTACACTGGCCGTAGTGTGTGAGTGTGTGTGTGTGTTTCCCAGAGATGGGTTGCAGCTAAATGGGCATCCGCTGTGTAAAACATATGCTGGATAAGTTGTCGGTTCATTCCGCTGTGGCGACCCCTGATTTATAAAGGGACTAAGCCGAAAAGAAAATGAATGAATGAATGAGTGATGATGCTGCACATCAGATGTGACCCTCAGCTGGAGGTGTTCATCACTCAGAGCGGTGATACACACTGGTGAAGGTCATCCTCAAACACACATAATAGCGGCTCTGTAAGGAGAAACTCACTCATCATGACTCATGATCTCTGAACACAACACTATACTCATCACTGGTCTACAACTGAACTTCTTCATCAAGCGTCTTGATGGAGGGCTCTGGAGCTATTGGAGCTGTTCATCAGTGTGTTATTGACGGACGCTGAGTTTTTATGCTGCCGTCTGGAGTAAACACTATA